GCAAGTTTACTTAAGAGCACTTGCTTGGTTTACTTAATAAAATTTTAAGAAATTTTTGTTTTTTTGAAAAAATTTTTTGGGAAAATTTGGTACAAAAGATTTACAGATTAAGTGCTGCTACTAATTAGTATATATTTTATTAAATTGGACTAGTAGATCAAAAGTTATTAAGGTTTTGTGTTTTTCTTAATGTTCTATATATTAACAATACTCTCTAAGTGCAAGTACTATATAAAATCTTTCTAAATACATAATATAGTTTAGTTTCAACTTATAAGAACCTTATTTATTTTATTCTCTATAAGTGCAAACCTCTTCTAAGTGCAAAATTTTAATTTTTTTTACTATAGTCCCTACAGAATATACTTAGAAGGTATGATTATAATTTTAAGAAAATTTAAATATCAAATTTGAGGATACAAATATCAATTTTCTAAATTTATTTTATTAAAATTAAAAAAAATATTTACTTTGATAAAGTATTTTATTTTAAAAAAATATTTATTTTTTTTTTTTTTTATTTTTTTTTTACTTTATACAAATGCCATCAGCTAAAACTTTTATTGGTATTGATAGTATATATTGTGAGAGTATAACTAGCCACATATACAACTTTAGATTGTCTAATTTAAGTAGTCTGCCTGAAAGTTCTACACTAGCTGCTATATCTAAAATCTATTTGAATATTACCTATTTAAACTCTCTGGCCCTATGACACTTACCTGTATTCTATCCTTTTTTACTAAGGTTTGTCTAACCCTGTGCTACTTCTTCTAGAAGATACCTGAGCTGACATTAGTCTACAAACTTTATAGTTCAGAGTTTAGACCCTATCTCAAGGTGTTCCTTTACTAACTCCCTAACTGATGGTGCTGTGGTACCCAACTATACTACGCTATATTCTAATCTAACTTGCATATACCCTTGTTCGATATTCATACAAACCTAGTTTCTACTGTGGCCTTCTATCAAGTTAGTTATCTGTGTCTCCAAATATCACATGAAGTAGATCCTCTCAAATCTGTTGCTTGGTGTTGCCTGCTTTGCTACCAGATATCACATAAGACAGATCCTACCAAATTCAGTTAGCTGCCAAGCCAGGTTGGTGTTTCTATATAACTTCATATAACAGACTTACTCACACCTGTTTTATCGATCCTTCTGTACTCAGGACTTAATCATATCTATTTCACTGATTTTTTTGTATACAGATTTCCTTTTCTAGATCAGATGTTAACTAGTATAACTGTCAAAATCTGTACTACTTCACCTAACTTGAGATTTCTACCATGCAGGTCCCCTGCTCGTAGATCCTATCAAGATTTATTTGTATAACATTATATCTCGCTGAATGCCCCATCACACTTCCAGTACCTAATTGGTATTGGTGCAATATGATTTACAGGGTTACAACCCAAGAAATGAGCAGAGTTTTCCATTAGTTGAATACAGATATCTAGGTAATTATTCAATTCTGTATACAGTGGGATTTGAACTATAGACCTCTTGCATGGCAGTCCGGCAACCTAACCACTACACTAAGATCACCAGACCTTCAAAAAAAATATTTATTTTGATAAAGTATTTTATTTTAAAAAATATTTCATAAAATATTTCATTTTTATTAAAATATTTATTTATTATAACCTATTAGAGTTAGGTTTAGACTTAGGATTAGAGTATAATTTAAACTGATTTTGTTAGTGCTAGTAAACAAAATTATATCATGTAAATTACTAGATTATATTCTTGAATTTTGATATGATTTTTGAGTTTCAAGAGACATCATTAGTTCTAATATGAGTTTTGAGTTCTGATATATATTTTGAGTTCTAATATAAGTTTTGAGTTTCAATACAAGTTTTGAGTTTTGATACAAGTTTCAAGTTTTGAAATGAGTTTTGAATTTTGAGAAGTTTCAAAAATAAAATTTTGTTAAAACTAGTTTCAAGACAGTTTCAATATCAATGCTCTCAAAAGTTTTGAGTTTCAAGAAGCATCATTAGACATGCCTTTGTTGAGAGCATACCTTTTTGTGCTCTGGGAATGCTCTCTCTAGATATCATAATTGATTAACTGTTGACCTAACTTATATCAAATCAACTATGATAATTGACTAATTAAATCAATGAAACTTTATATGTGAGGTTTTTCTATATAAAAAAGTAAGGGCATGCCTTTTAGCAAAAGAGCATGTCCTAGACATGCCTCCCTAAGCATGCCCCTCAGGCTTGCCTTGGAACACCATGCCCCCAACCCTATTTAGTTGACAACACTCCATATGATTTTTTAAAATTTAGTATAGGAAACTTCTTTTGGTGTTCTAATTAAAAATTCCTTGCTAAATTTTGGCATAAATCTTTCTTCACTATCACCCTAACCCTAACCCTAATCTAACGAAGTTCTAACCCTAAAGCAATAAATAAAATATATTATTTTGATTTTAGGTTACACCGAATATTATGTTTACATATAGAGTAGTGCCACAGTGCTATAGCTCTATAATAATATTTCCTTAATTTAAAAATAAAAAAATTCACTAAAAATAATTTGTCTCTTTCAACTGACTTCCCTTTATATTGCTAAAATAAAACCTTCTTAAAATCAATAAGTAAGTTTGTTAAAAAAGTTTTAATATAAAACGTCTTTTTATATAGAACTTTTACTGAATAAATCTTAGTTGAAGGTCGAGTAATTATTAAAGTATGGCACGAAAATTTCAAGTTTGCTTAGTACACTATACCTGGTAAAAAATGAGATTATACTACCCCGAGATTCCGAAAAAAGTATTGTAGCGTGTATAAAAAAAATTACAGATCAATTAAATCGTTTGTGAAACAATCTACATACTCGGAACGGTCCTGCTTGCCTGTATCATATGATTGATTCTAAGAGCTAAATATATGTGCTACCGTACAACAAATTCAGTACGTAATTGAATATATCTGATGTTCTAAAAACAAAAAAAAATAAAAAATAAATAGTATATAATCTATAAATCCGTATAATGTCAGTGAAAATATGTGAGCATCAAGTTTTTTAATTTCATAATGATAACTGATAAATGTTAATATATGTTTTGATGTGATATAAGTATGTGAATATTCAGAGCAATTAGAGATTTATTTAAGAAAACATAATATAGAAAAATTTGAATATTCGCAACATAGTGACCTTAAGTGTATTGGCAAAGGAGGTTATGCAGTTGTATATTCGGCTACTTTTCAGGGAAAGATATATGCGTTAAAAAGTCTGAATAATAACTTGAGTTTCGATGAAAATGCGGTCAAAAATTTCAAACGTGAGGTAATTTCTTTCTAAATTCTTAATTTAGTTAATTATTCAGAATCAAATCTTACAAAATATACCAATAGCTTAGATGCTTCTATAAGGTTGATCATCCTAATATTGTAAAATTTCACGGAATCTCAAGAGGCAAGAATTTCACTACGAATTTGAATTCAAATTATGGCGGTTTGATCAAAATGTCAATGAAATCATAAATAATCGGCAGATTCTAACAGAATTTTAAAGGCGACAATCATTTTCCCGACAACTATTTCCTTGGCAATTACTTCTCTGACATAACCACTTCCCTGACAATTACTTCCCCGACACATTTATTTCCCGACGTTCATTTTCCCGACACTTATTTCCTCAACGCATTCATTTCCTCGACACTGTGCTGGGGAAATGAATGTGTCGGGGAAATGAATGTGTCGGGGAAATGAATGTTGGGAAAATGAATGCGTCGGGGAAGTAATTGTCAGGGAAGTGGTTATATGATCAGGGAAATGGCTGTCGGGGAAATGACTGGGACACAATTTTGAAAGCTTTAAACAAAATATAAGTTAGTTGCTTATTGAAAGATATGATTGATAGGCAATCAGAAATTTCCCACTATCATAATCACGAAAACCACAGTGTCACACCTTTTTGCAAACCGCCATAATATCTCTATCGGAGGATGAATTTTCTTTGAAAAATCCAAATATATTGCATTTTTAGTATTAAAGTTATTCTTATCCAAAATTTTAGACGATAAGACGGGTAATTTTATGTTAGTATTACAGCATGCCGCTGATGGTAACTTGCGAGAATATTTAAAGAAGAAGCAAAAAGACGGTCTTTATAAAATTTTATTTGCTGATATCATCCGGAATGCAAAGGAAATTACTCTTGGATTAAACCATTTACATAATAATAATATTATTCACCGTGATTTAGTAAGTTCTATTTCTTTAAATACTCCAATTCACTTTCCCAAACTTAAATTGATGATGTTCTAAAACTTGGATATAGCATTCTATGAATATTTTAATAAATAACAATACGGCACTGATCGCTGATTTCGGAATATCAAAAATTTTAGATGCTACTACTGATACCGCTTCAAGCACCGGCGCGAAGGGCATGCCAGCATATCTTGAGCCACAATGTTATATTCAAAGTGGAGAAAAGGCAGTCAAGCTTAATGAAAAATCTGATATTTACAGCCTGGGCGTATTATTCTGGGAGCTCACAAGCGGAATTCCACCATTTACTAATGCTCGAAAGGAAGCAATACCTTTAGCAATGATAAAAGGTGACAGGGAGAAAACCATTGACAGAACACCCTTAAATTATGCTAATCTATACAAGAAATGCTGGTCTACTGATCCAGATCAGCGTCCATTTTCAGATGAAGTTTTAGTTGAACTTAATAAATTATCAACAGAAAATACTGTAGAGTTTATTATAAATAACATTAATAAGGGTAAACAAGATTTTTTTTTTTTTTTTTTTAATTCTTCGGCGGAACTGGTTTTCGTATACTGCAATTAAATAATATATAAATTTTATCATGGCTAATCCAGGTCAGACTAATTCAATACAAAGCAGTGAACCTGATGAATTCAATTCATTACAAAGTAGTGAAACTAATTCAATACAACGTAGTGAACCTGGTGAGATTCATTCAATGCAAAGTATTGAAACTGATGAGATCAATTCAATACATGATAAAATTAAAACCGGTATAGAACAAAAATATAATACAAATTACAAACCAAGACCTAATGGTATATACCGAAGTAATTTTTATTCCTATTACAGTATATTCAAATTTCGTTGTTTAACAATAAGCGCAAAATTACACTTACAGTTAAATGGTTTGAAAAAGCTATTAGCGATGGTAACATTAATTTCTACGGTTATGGTGAATTCAGTGATATTGAAAAAATTAGCGATGGTGGTTTTAGTTTTGTAACTAAATCAGAGTGGAAGAATGGTGGATTGACTGTCGCTCTTAAATGTCTAAAA